CCACTATGACCTCGGCTCCAGCCCTCCGCAGTATGTCAATTTGCACAACTGCCTCAATCGGCTCCGTCCCGTTGGCCACCGGAACCAAAACCTACACCAACGAAATTTTGTCAATTCAAAGACCTAACGGAGAAATTCAAACAGTTCAGAATTTCAGACAGCACCTTTTTAGCAGCAGAAGCCATTACTGAATCTGTAGATGAGCCTGCGAGTGAGAATCGTTTGATTTTCTCACTATAATTTGATGGAGTATAATAATATGAGTGATACTGAGGATTGAATTTCCTCGAGAGAGTGAAGTAGGGAGGGAGGTAGCAGCACAATCGTGTAACCGCCGTCATTTTGTTGCGCTGAAGGTCATCATATCCGGCCTCGACGGGTCGAACCCTGGTCCAGTCCGAGTAATCATCCTGTCAGGTACGGGTTCGTAGCTTAGGATGGTTTATTTGGAAATTAAGGTCTTGTTCCGTTCAACTTATTTTTTTTATTCTTATTATAATCAGATCAGATCAAATCCAATCAGATCAGATTAGATCCAATAAGATCAGACCAGATCAGATCAGATCCATCAAGAATTATTATTATTATTATTATTATTATTATTATTATTATTATTATTATTATTATTATTATTATTATTATTATTATTATTATTATTATTATTATTATTATTATTATTATTATTATTATTATTATTAAAAATATTATCATTATTATTATTATTCTTAAAAATGAAAAAGAATAAACTTTAAAAACAAGTTAAATAGAAAACTGAGAAAGTAATCCTTAATTATTAGACGTCAGAAAAATTATTTTTAAAATACATTGACAATGTAAATCTAATTCTACTTTTAAAATACATTTTTATTGTTACCTGTAATTTGAGTTTCTAAAGGTTTGATCTTTTATAAGGATGAGATATTTTAATAAAAATACTATCTCTTCTATATATTGATTATCTAAATTTAATTACGTTTTAATGTATATAAAATTAAACATTTATTCTAATGTATATATGAAGTAATTATTAAAATATTAAATTAATATTCTAATTTCACAAAAAATAATCATAAAATAAAAAATATTATTACATTATAATATGAATGATTATTCTAATATATGAATTAACTAATTTTATTTTATTAAAAAATATTCATAAAATAAAAAATATTGATTATATTATAATATAAATTATCATTACAATTTTCAAACGTTGTTATAAAGTCAAATCAAATTATTGATTTGAATTTTAAATCAAATCATAATTAATCAGATCAGATTCAATCAGATCAGATTAGATCCAATCAGATCAGACCAGATCAGATCAAATCAGATTAGATCAGATCCAATCAGATCAGATTCGATTAGATCCAATCAGATCAGATCTAATCAGATCACAACTTATTAAAATCAGATCAGATCAGAAAAAATAAGTTGAACGGAACGGAGCCTAAATGAGGAAAAGGATCATACTAGCAATAAAGAGAAATGTTCGGTTCACAAACACAATCTTCACAAACTTACTATTTATAAACTTCAATAAAAAAATTAAATAATATAAAATAATTTAAATGAGAATTTAAATCATAAATAGTAAATTTGTGAAGTTTGTGACTATTCTGTTTGTGAACCTAGCATTGCTCAGACGTAAAACATATATTATATCTCTAAAATAAGAGTTGAAATTTAAACTTCTCTGCCTGAATAAGAATAAATAACTTAATTAATTTAAATTATAAAGGGAAAAATCATACTCACACGATGCGTTGCGTGCCGATGCAAATTGGGCTCCAATGTTTGGTCCTAAACATGACAATTCCAAAACTAAAAACTAATTCACGAACAGTGCTCCACTATTGCTACCCCCC